GTTCTGTGAGATGTGAATGTTAATAGTTATGTTGAAAGTGACTGAGTAGATTAGCTAGTGTAACACAAGCACTCTGAGCAACTCTGTGTAGCTAACAGAGGCATTCACGGGTTAATTAAACAAGCTGTGTTTCATGATGCACTAAATAGTGATTTTGCCAGTAAATTACTGGAGGGAACAAATGTAATGTATTTACCAATGCTGTTATTGAATATAACTGTTTAGCCAGTAAGACACTGCAGAAGACAATGTGATGTGTTTATTGATATGATAAAAGAAATGTAGTTGTTATGGAAAGAAGTGTGAACTTAAGAAACTGAACCAGTTAAAAGGAGTATATTTCACTGATGTTGTGAAATAAGTGAATGTAATTGATGTGAATGAGGAACCAGCTGAACAGTATATTGAAAGCTCATGTTTAGTGTTTTATAGCATTTATTTGTGTGAAATAAATCAGACTCAGACACGTTCTGGAGGAAAGCAGAGACGCATCGTGTCTTCCTTACTCCGCTCTTCACCTGCTTTTACAGGTAACATATTGTCATCGTGGTCTTCATCCTTGGGACCCGTAACACAGAGCTTTCCACAGATTATTAGAGCAGCAGCACAATAATTAGTTTATATGTATTTGTATGTATTTAAGCTTGAGCCAGCCAAAGAAAACAAAAACAACTTTAATGTGTGTGACTGGTGCACAGTGGCTGTGGATTCATGCTCAGAGTTAGGTTACATCAAGTGTAGCAGAGATTCATATGAATTTTAACTGGTGATCCTGAGATCCATTGACTGAACTCCACTTTTGTACCAACTACATACTGTCTAACATAAAGACAGTATAAACATTGTACTGTCTGCATAAAGGATGAAAAATGAGCCAGGACAACTCATCAAACATCTGCTGACATCTGGTTGAATTAAGTTGTGTAAATCCACAAAGAGCAGCAGGTCGGATGATCACAGCCTGTACATGACGAAAATCTACTGAAGCTCTCAGCAGTAATTATTCTGAGTCCTGATTTGTTTGCCCACTGAGCCACTACAACCAATTTTAGGGTTCCTCCACCTGCTGAATCCACTTTAACCCCTGACTGTAATAATTTTCCTGTTTAGAGGCAAAATCACCGTCTACAATGTAGACAACAGAAATATGTCAGAGCTAGTACTTTCTCACTTTTACTTGAGTAAAGAAGTTAAGTCAGTACTTCAACTTTTACTAAAGCAGTGGTTCTCAAACTTTTCACAATGAGTACCACCTCATAAAATATATGGCTCTTGAAGTACCCTTATGACCGTCATTAAAGTACGGTAGTATAGGCCTATTTAACACCACATACAGTTTACATGAGACAATTTCATTTCTTATATGAACGTTTTTCTTGTTTTAACTGTCATAAACAGGATGTGACAAATGATAACAATAACAACTGTACTGCATTAAAACATTCACAACAGGGGGTTATCCGGTCTTTAAGTGATGACATGATGAAAGCTGCTTCCAAACTACTCTGCATTTATTAAGGCGGTTGTGTTTCTAACATGTTTTAATGTTTTGTATCTTGTTCTATTTAATTTGAACAAGCCCCTGAAAAAAGTCAGTGATCACTGTCGACCTCTCACAGTTTTTATCATCACTTTTCATTTTAAAGTTCAGTTTTTAAAACCTTACAATGTAACTACAGCGCAGCCCATGCAGCATTATGTTATTATATTATATTATACGTATAAATGACTAAGCACATATTGCAGTTGTTCTCCTGACTGAAGTTTAGTCCGTTTACAGCATCCTGCCATGTGACTGTATTTGTTCCTAACCACCGGGAAGGCCTAAGGAAACAAGCCCTCCAGCGCTCTGTAGGTTTTGGTTTTTATGAAAAAAAATAAGCTTTTTTTTTTCAATCTTCTAAAGCTGTTTAACTTCTAGAGAGAATCGCAGCAACTACATGATGAAGCTTTCAACTCCAAGACAAACTAAGACAGTTTTCGTGTAGTATGAGTATGAGGGTGTGACACAGGCCCTGTGTATTTTTTACGTTGCAGTATTTTAAATATTTTATAATATTTCTGAGTATTCCATCATATTATGCTTTACTTATGTTAAGATTATAAAGCTGAAACAATGATTAGAAACGTTTCTGTTAGCAGCACCCAGCAGTTTATCTTCTAACCCTTTCTTGTTTCCCAGCGTCAGAAACAATTAAAATGCTGATTCTTTAAATGTCATCACAAGAGTTTATTAAGCATGAAACATGAAGCTCCATCCTGTTAATGCTGTTTGTGTTTTACTTGAAATGATCCTGTTTTTATTTTAACCTCTCAGTATATTTATAATTCAAATGAGTTGAAGGATAACAATATTGGACTGAAGTCCTGAATTTAAATCTTTTCTCTGTTGTTTGTGTTCTTTTTTATTCTCTCCAATGGTTCTCAGCGCCAACTTACTGAACAGCATCAAACTGAAAACCTTAAATTTCGTTTTTCCTCATGATGTTATAAGTAGTTTCTATTCACAGTCCGAGATCTGCGGCTCCCAGCTGATGTTGTCATCATGAATCTGAACTAGAAGGTTCACCTGCTGAGAGCTTCTTCCTCATTAACTTCCTGGTTTTGTATGAGGAGGTCTGTTTTCTGTTTAAAATGAAAGACAATTCAAAGATTCACTGAGTTATACTGAACACGACAAGTTTAAGAAACTTTAAACTGTGACAGAGCAAATGATATTCTGACACAAACCATGTGTCAAAAAATGTGTTTTGATCATTTTATATTTACAAAACTTACAAGAAAATCCTGTTTTTCTGACAGACTTACGTGTTCTTTACAATTCTGATAAACAATAAATCCCCATGAGACCAGAGAGATACAGATGTATACAGCCACGATGATTGCTAACCAGAGTACCAGGAAAAATTCTAAAGTACAAAAACAGGAAAAACATAATTCAGTGTTAATGATATAAACGAGCACATTTTAAAGACAGGAAGTGGAATTGACCATTAAATAAGCAGTATTGCTGTGGGAGGTGAACACCAGACTTTATTTACATGTTTCTGATGCACAGAGAATTTAATTTATCACCACTTACAGTCTGGTGACCTCCAGCTTACATCGGGCCTTTTGCCCAATGACAGCCAGGAAAGACTCGAGGCCCCAAAACCCAGAATTGGATAAAACTGATATTTGACATTTTGAAGCAGAACCTCAGTATGTTTACCTGAAAGAGCTACAGGTTTATGGGAGGATTTTACTTTGTTGTTCATATAGACTTAGTTTCACTTCCATAGAACGAGCCTAGTCTTAGACTCTCTTTAGTCTGAGACTGAACTAAATCCATTCCTAGAAAACTGTGTATTCTGTTCTGGTAAATTAATACAGTGCTCAGATTTGGCCCATATCTCCTGACTGTACTGTGTATAAACAATATAACAAATGAATGATTTTAGTGTTTTTGTAAACTGTAAAGTTATTATTATTATTTTTAATATATATATATATATATATATATATATATACTTATGCCTTTGGTCACATCATCCAAATCTGGCCTCTGGAAATTTCCAGGTTGCGGAGTTGTTTCGGTCTTCCCAGATTTTGATTCTGAAATTAAAAAAATAACATATTTTTTTAAATTTTAGCTCAGGTGGTAGAGCAGGTCACTTACTAATCAAAAGGTCGGTAGTTCGGTCCCAGTTTGCATGCTAAATATTTTTTTTGTCTGTGATGCATCATCACAGTATGAATGTCTGTGAATGTTAAACACTGTGAACATGTGAGACAGTATAGACCAAAAAGGGCTCGTGTCAATGGGTGAATGTACAAGTTGTGTAAAGCACAATGAAGAACCAAAAAACAAACAAACTGTTGTGATGAGAGAAACAGTTTGTAGCTCTTCAGTGTTGGTTTCCTCACATGTCCTGATGAAGCTGCTCAGTAACAGTGTCACTGAGGTTGGACACTGTGGATTTCTGTGGTCGACTCAGACTCTGAGGCCTCCTTCAGGGATGTTACCTGGACCAGCAGCTTCATGAAGAATTAGCCTCACGTGTGTGTAAGGCACAAAGACTCTTGTGTTAAAAAGTCCAACTTAAAGCAGAAATGACCATGTTTACAGTCTTCTACATGAACCAGTGTTGGTCTCCATGGATAGTTTCATATCAGAAATCAGAAATCAGAAATCAGAATGGGTTTATTGCCAGATGTTGAGGTTTACAACATTAGGAAATTGCTGCGGTGCTTCAGTGCAGACAATAAAAATTAAAGTGCTATGTAAAAAGAAAGATATGTGCATATCATCTCTGTATAGACTTCCTATATGTCTGTTACTGTACTCAGCACTAATTAGCAGGTGTGTGTCTGTGTGATGCAGTTTATGGATGTAATTTTCTAACTACACAGTTTTTCTGGTAATTCTATTAAAAATGCTCGAAAAGGAAACATCAGCTCTAGAAGAGTGAAGAAGATCCAGTTCATGGACTCAAATCAGTGAAAGTGGGGCTACAGCTGCTGGTGTCTGAAACTCCATCAATCAAACAGGATATTTATAAAGACACAGTTTTTATGAAAGTGGAAACTAAAGATTTGTGTTCATCACTTTGAAACCCTGTAACAATTATACACACCAATTTTATCTCAGGTTTGAACCATGATTAACGTTAACAGCTCACAGTGATCACTTGTATAAATGAATTGTCTTACCAGAGACGGTGACTCTGCAGCTGTTGGAGCCGCGGCCATAACCTGTGTCCACCTCACACAGGTACAGACCCGAGTCCTTAGTCCTGAGTCTGGACAGCTGGAGTCTGATTCGTCCTTCTCTGAGGGCGTCTTTGTCACTCTGGACTCGTCCTGAAAACTCTTCATCCTCTGAGAACTCGACACCATCAAGCAGATAATACAGAGTTGAGGGTTTCTGATCTTTTTTCATGTAACAGAGGATGTTCAGTGCTGAGATGGACGTGTCTGGTTTGGTGGTGAACGTCCACTCCAGTGTGATGTTGTGGTTTTCCTCTGCCTGATAGGAGCTCTGTGTCACATCCACTACAAATGATCCTGTTGAGGAGACAGAGATGAGCAGACACACAACTTTATACAACATCAGAACTGTAAAACACAGCAATAAACGAAGCATCATTTCTGTTATAATCCAAAGAACTTCAAGGCCCCCACAACACAGCCAGCCATGTTCAGTCGTTCATTCTTTCATAACTCTATATTGTCCTCCTGGTCGTTCTGGCTAGTTTCCAACAATTGTGAATTTGAGAACCATTTTTTTTTATGTTTAAACAAAACAACCAAAAATGATCATAGATGAGTTTAAATGCTCAGCAGTTTTTGCTCACCTCTGCAGAGGACGAGTGTCAGAAGCAGCACAGCAGCAGAGAAGGCCGAGGGTCTGTGTGTGAAGATCACACTGATCTCCTGAAGAGCCATCACTCATTACTCTGAAAATCAACAAGCAAAACAAGCTTCCTGTTACTCTCTGCATCTCACAGGAAGCAGCCCAGCAGACTAATATAACATCATGTGTTTTATTCTAAATGTTACTGTTTCTGATTCTTTAACAACATTAAAGAAATCTCACCTCAAGGTTCTCTGTGGCGCGTTTCTTCATTTGTCTACTCCGAACATCATCTCCAGACTGCAGATCCTGTACTGTGGATCAATGAGTTCCTCCACTCTGTAACAATAACAGGAAAACAGGTTCAGTTCCAGTGAAATTGTCACGGACCTGTGTCTGAAGGACCCAGGGTCTTTGAATAAGTATGGACGTGTATTTTTTGTGCTGCTGTCCTGCTTCCTGATGTTTGTGTATAGCTGGGTGTGTATGTGGGTGTGGCAGAGCACCTCTTCCTCAGCCCTGGTGGGGGTGTCAGCCAGGAGCCTGGCCACACCTGAGGACGAGAAACGCACACACACCTGAAGTTGATCAAGCCTCGTCTGGGAGCTATTTAATAGTTTGTCCGAGCGTTCCTTGACGCTGGACTGTTGCATGAGACTCCACATTAGTGTTGTTAGTGTCAAGTCCAGTGAGTGTATGCCCACAGTAGTTGAGTGTCCTGATAGCTGCTTCTATCGTTTCTTTCAAAAAGAGCCTGGAAAGCCAGCGAGCACGTGGAGAGCAGACACACGGGAGCGGAGAGCACGAGGCACGGACTTATTGGGGAAGAAGACACGGCACGGGAGTCAGGGGAATGCATCGGGATTGTTTGTGTGAATATTTACTGCACTGTAAATAAACGCACTGTTCACCGCAGCATTTGGATCCTTTGCCCAGACAAACTGTGACAGAAGTCACATTCAAGAAGCTGTTTCAGTGTTTAGCTATTAAGCAGTTTCAAAATAGTTTATATGTAAACAGACCATTAGATCATCACTGATTCAATAACAGAGAATGATGATTTTAAATATTCTGGTCAGGCTTGTACTGGGAGAAAAGATCAGCCTGGACCAAAACGTCCAGGCTGATCCCACAGATGCTGTGAGGCAGTGTGTGTTTGTTTGCAGTGTTTCTCTAAACTTTTCTGTCTGTGCAGGCTTCCAGCTGCTCACCAAAGCACACAGACCTTTTCTGTAGCACACATGCGTTGAATGCTGTAGTGTTGTTGTTGGTATTAATATTGGTGGTGCAGCTGCTGAAATGTCAATTATTGGACATATTTTACTGCATTTACCCAGCATAACTAAGGGAGGATTCAGGGTTACCTGGTCCAGCCCTAACTATATGCTTTAGCAAAAAGGAAAGTTTTAAGCCTAATCTTGAAAGTAGAGATAGTGTCTGTCTCCCGAATCCAAACTGGAAGCTGTTTCCACAGATGAGGGACTGACATAGCATCTGTTGTGCTGAACAGAGGTCATTAATATGCACAGCAGTCTCAAACTAGAAAAATAGCTGAAAATCACATTACAAATGAACAATAACTATGAGACACCAACACATTACTGGAATAAGTGATACTGAACATGAACGTCAGAATGAGGCACGAGTCTTTGGCATAGTGCTTCCTCTTGAATCGTTACTATATTTTCTTCTCTAACTTTGATTGACAGAGAGCAGAACAAATCTGATGATTTGATGACGAATTTACCCAAACACCTTCAAACTTTAAGGATTATTTCTGAGGAAGCTGAAAAGTCGTGTTAACTGATGATTGACACAGTTCAACACAGACAGGTGCAAACTCAGTTTAATCTATGCAAATTCAACAAATGTGCTTCATCTTCAGTCGTCTCAGACAGCTGGGCTCCTGAGTTTGTATCAAGCAGTCATTCTCAAAGGAGAAACTGAAATGATTCATGTGAGTTTTCCACCCACTGTGTAAACAGCAGACCAATCAGCAACAGTCTGTTGTCAGCTCAGTGTTTAACTCTATTTGACAAATATATTAAAGAAAAGTGTTTGATGGTGGTCCGTGAAACACTCATCAGAAACATCAATCTGCATATTCAGAACAAAACACTAACATCCAAAATAATTAGGTTACATTTATTTTTCTTAAGAAGCAGATACTGTGATACTGTGTTCACTTGTTAAAATGATCATCTTTAACTGAGATTATTCAGCAGGGTTGGGGTTAGGTTATGGCCTTTTATTTTGAAATTAACCTCTTTCCATATCAGTGTAACTTAAGCTCATAACCATAACTGAAAGCTCAGAGTTTCTTTTAAGTCACCTCGATAAGTCCAAAGTCTTTATAAACATAAATACAGCTTTTCTCACTTTGCTGCTACATTTGGAGCTTTGTGGGAGCTTTTAACAACTGACAGAAACATTTATCATCTTGTATGTGCTCACGGTTTGACAGAGAAACAACAGTCTGACTTTATTCAGTAACATGTAGAAAAAAATCCCTATGTTTTTCCATCACACATTTTTTTTTCATTATTAGTTTCTTGTTTTTTGAGTTCTCCAACTCAAAAAAAAACAAAAAACAAGACTTACCACAGATAAAGACCCCAGACTCCGACACAGTGATCCAAACTGTTGCTGTGAAAGTGAAACGAGTTTGTTGGAGCCGAGTAGGTAACAGGAACTTAGACAAGGATAAACATGTCACTGCAAACCAGACACTCAGGTCGGATCAGTTTCTAACATTCCTTGATGCAAAGCCTATTCATCAGGTAAACACTGATCATGACAAACACAGGGAAGGTTTCACTTTATTACATACTGCGTCAGATCAGTACAGATCATGTGTAAACCAAAAATTAGCTTAAAATGGTTTCAGCAGTTTCTTCTCATCTTCAACAAAAAGTTCACGTTTTTCCTAGCATTTGCATTTCATTCTGTCTGTAAACACAACAGCTCTGAAAGTTTTGAATGTATTCTGATAAAACTCTGTAGGCTGTAGCAGGATCATGTTATAATGATCCAATAAAGTTTGATTTACATCCACCGAGGTCTTCATGGTCAACTTTATGACTTGCTGTTAAAAAATTGACAAAAAGCACTGTGTAATGTCAACATTTACACGTATAAAGATTTAAAACATCATGTCACATTTTACCTCTGAACTCTCCCTAAGGCCAATAGATCAACCTGAAAGTCAAAGCAATTATATATAAAACTGTTTATTTAAAACTATATTTCTTACTGTGTTTGCTGGTGAAAGATGGAACTCCGACCTCTTCTTTAGGGTCAAATATGGTCAAACTTTCATAACATGTATTTTTATCTGTAATTCATTTTCTGCTGCCTCTATATCGGTGACGTTTTTGCATGACTTTGTTTACCATGTGCATTACTGTAATGCACGAAACAAAGATATTTATTAAGAGAAGTTGATATGAATTTTTCTTAAAATCAAATGAATTCTGCACAGAAAGGACACAGCACAGCTGGAGCTCTGTGTGTTCAGCCTCTGAAGTCTGCAGGTGAACCAGCCTGTAGCTCCAGGTCATTTGCAGAGTTTCTGACCTCAAACAACAAACATCAGAGGTCTTTGTGATCAGATCACGGTCTGTGTTGGGTCTGTGTTTCCAGAAGCCCCGCTAGTTTAGAGACTTATTCATCACGAATGAAACAAGACATAACAGAACATCTTCAACCCACTAGCGAGGGAAGTTTTTGGTCAAGAACCAGCTCTTGGAGCTCACGCTCCTGTCTCCAGCCCAAAATCCTTCAAAGAGCAGCTTCCCTTGCAGCTATTTATTGACATGATAGTTACAATACAGAATACAACACAAACACCTCCCACCATAAAAGGCACTATGTGTGTGTATGTGTAAGCACATGTATGCATGTGCAAGAAAGTGTGTGTGTGTGTGTGTGTGTGTGTGTGTGTGTGTGCGTGCGTGCGTGCGTGCGTGCGTGCGTGCGTGTGTGTGTGTGTGTGTGTGTGTGTGTGTGTGTGTGTGACCTCCTGCTGACCAAAAGGGTCATAAAAGCAGGAAGCTTACAACAGAAGAAACAGATCTTTCAGGTAGGATGTATCTGCAATAAAACCTCCCCCAGCACAGAGTGGCGGGAGAGGTGGTCAGAGACAAAAGAATGTCTTGATCCTATAGATTGAACTAAGACCTTACAAATTTAAGAAACACAATGACACATTCAATGCACCGTTGTTTTTGGCAGTGTCAGTGTAGATTCATACACAGCTCCTCACGTCATTCACCTCCTATTGCAGCAAAAGTTCACAGTTAATTCATGTAAGCAGTTAACCTGCTTCTCATTGATCTCATACACAGTAAACTACAGGGTGGGCCATTTATATGGATATACCGTAATAACATGGGAATGGTTGGTGATATTAAAGTCCTGTTTGTGGCACATTAGTATATGTGAGGGGGCAAACTCCTCAAGATGGGTGGTGATCATGGTGGACATTTAGAAGTCGGCCATCTTGGATACAACTTTTGTTTTTTCAATAGGAAGAGGGCCATGTGACACATCAAACTTATTGTTAATGTTACAAGAAAAACAATGGTGTGCTTGGTTTCAACATAACCTTATTCTTTCATCAGTTATTTGCAAGTTTCTCTTTGTTCACAGCCATTGACATGTCGAAGAGGTTAACACGTGAAGAGTGGATCGAAATTGTGTTGATATCTGGTGAACGCAGTAACCGGGTCATTGCAGCAGATTTCAATGCAAGACACCATACGAGACCACCCATCTCCCATGCTACAGTTAGCAAACTGCTTGCTAATTTTCGTGAAACTGGTTCAGTGTTGGATTTCTCAAAATGTGTACGCAAGAAAACTGTCACTAATGAAGAAACATCAGTGGCTGTCCTAGCTTCATTCAGCAAGAGCCCACAGCGTAGCACTCGTCACATGTCACTGCAGAGTGACATGTATAAATATATATTTTAACTCAAAAATAGTTTTTAAATTTAATGTTGCTGAAACAACAAAATAAAAAATCTATCTTATCGAGAAATCACTCATCTTTGGAAAAGAGAGTTTATTACAGAGAAATGGCTCTTTCCAAAATAAAAGCTATACTATACGCTTCTTCTGGGCTACATTCTCAGCAGCATATTAAACATATCAGGTCCCCATAAGGAGAATCATGTGCTAACGGCTGTCTAAATGACTCGGGTAAAGTTAGTGGCATGCTTGTTGTTTTTGTCTGCTTCCACTTGTCTTTGCACTAGGATGATGTCGGCGTAAATGTGCAGTCATATTTATTGTGTTCCCACTAGTGCTGTCAGCGTTAATCTCGTTAAAATGACTTTAATGCCATAACGAGTTACCGCGGATCGCCCCGTGCGTGGGGCTGGATGACGTCAACACATTAACAAGCTAACTGCGCTAACACACTAGTTCCCACCAATGTAATTGAGCACTGCATGGCACATCCGACATACTGTTTTACTTTTGTCCATCAGGGTCATACTTCACATGAAAACCAAAATAGCTCCAAACGCCAGAGCCGAATGAGGGAGGGGGAGGTTAAATTCCGGGTAGCGTTGAGGCAGTTGCCATGTTGCAATGAGCTTAGCTTCTGTCTCACTAGCTTGCGCTGCACTCAGTGGACATGTCTGTGTAGGTTCTGAGTCATCCAGGTCATCGTAGTCAAAGGAGCTTTCAAAGAAAAGCGTCTGGACTTCTTTAAGTTGCTTGAAGACGTTTCGCCTCTCATCCAAGAAGCTTCTTCAGTTCTAAGGTCAAATGGTGGGGAGTCCCAGATTTAAACCTAGTGGGAGTATCCCCACACAGAGGGACAAAAGGACCCCCTGATGATCCTCTAATCGCCTGAGCCAAGGTGTGAAAATGGGTGTGGGTCCCAATCAGCCAGGGTAAGTGGATCTGCGCTCGACAGTGCAGCCTATGCGGAGTAGTCGAATGCAGATACACTGAGCTCTTGACACAGACAGCATCGTCAGAAGAAAAGTTGATAAAACAAATTAAAAATTTGGTATTATTTGATACATATGCGTACCGAACTGAAAGCACTGTATCAAACGGTAAAAAAACGGTAAAATGTATTTTATATGTGTTTATATGTGTTTCAAATTGTGCTGCCTTTACACACAGACATGTTTCATGACTTTGCTTATGCATATTTAGCCCGGATGAGAATTTGGGAGCAAGTGGTCATAATTCCCATGGACTAAAAAGCAATAATCAAAAATGTGTTCACAGTTAAGCCCATGTGATGTAAATTTAGCCTGAATGTAATGTGCATTGTAATATGTCACAACAGTAAATGTAGTAAATTAGAGCAACAAAACTAATATGTCAATAATTAAGTGTGATTTCCTACAAACAATAAAAATGAGAATAAAGAAAAAAAGTTTCCATTATGATATCAGAGTTTGTTAGCTGTGATCCTTGAGCCGCAATAATGAACCAAAGCAAAGTCTCCAGAACACGAGAGCTTCATGTTTAACCAGAGGTGAGAAAAATCTGAAAACTAATATTTATTTCATTGAGCCAGGTCTTTTTAAAAAATGTTTTAGCTGCTTTAAAAGTAATTTCAAACTTTTTGATGCATTTGATGCACAGAGTCAGCTGTAATGTGATGCAACACTTCATGCTTTTGTTTATGACGTTGAAGAACTGACTTTTTTTTGTTCACTGTGTTAAAGAAAGAAAGAAAAAAAAACACACACACACTAAGCATGGAAACCAAACATATTAATTCGAAGATAAAAAGCAAACATACAGGTATATTAAAAAATGCACAGTCTTAAAATAGTGAATAAAACAAATGCATGACAGGCAGCAACACTGTAACACTGTAGTGCACAACAAGCAATATAAACCAACCTGTAGCTCAGTTTTGGATCATCAGTTGTGACCAGCAGTGATTCTGACCTCTGAAAGTTCATAAATGTGAGTGTAGATAGACAGGATGACATAAGTGCTGGTGCAGGAGTAGTTCCAGCTTTAAACACCGGGCAGAGCTTTCCACAGACATTAATTCAATTCAATTCAATTCAATTTATTTATGTAGCACCAAATCACAACAGCAGTGGCCTCAAGGAGCTTTATATTGTACAGTAAGAGGTCTTTATAAAAGGCAACAGTACAATAATTAGTTTAAATTTGCCTCACTCTTTTCCTCACTGAAAGTTGAACTAAATTCCACGCTCGCCCCTGCAGGCATCCTTCAAATTCGGGTCCTCTACCAGAGGAGCTTCTTTTCGACATCTTCTTATTAAAACAGCTTCTCGAGCTCTTCTGAGCCCTTGGTATTTCTCGAGCTTCTCATGTTCCTTCTTCCTGATGTTGCTGTCATTCAGAACTGCTACATCAATCACTATGGCCGTCTTTTTCTGTTTGTCTACCACCACTATGTCTGGTTGGTTAGCGACCACTATTTTGTCCGTCTGTATCTGGAAGTCCCACAGGATCTTAGCTCAGTCATTCTCCATCACCCTTGGGGGAGCAATAACATGGCTGACAACTGCTCCATTCCATAGTCGGTTTCCGTAGCCAGTCTTATCACTGATCTCACTGAGGGGATTCAGGCCTATGCAGAACAGCAGTGGGGACAGAGCATCTGCTTGGTAGATTCCGCACTTGATGGTGACTTGTGCTATGGATTTGAAGTTGGCCTCTAGTGTTGTACGCCACATCCCCATTGAGTTCCTGATGAAGGCTCCTGTTAATCTTGTACAGGTCCATTCCAGGATCCATGCGTGGGTCATTGGCCTTCTTGTAGTCCAGGCAGAGCACAGGTTGGTCAGTCTGGTCTTGCTGGTGTTTTGCACTGGTATTCTTGCCAATCCCTTTCTGTGCCCCACTCATGTATTGACCCATATGTCTGTTCATCTTAGCCAATATGATGCCTGACAGGAGCTTCCACGTGGTGCTGAGGCAGGTTATTGGTCGGTAGTTGGATGGTAGTTGGATCCTCAAGGACCCCGGGACCCCCAGGACCCCGGATCAGGACTGTCCGGCCTTCGGTTAACCATTCTATGTGTCTTTCTTTAACTAGGAGCTGGTTCATTTGTGCTGCCAGATGCTCATGGAGTGCAGTCAGGATCTTCAGTCAGTAGGCATGAACCATGTCGGGGACTGGTGCTGTCCAACTCTTCATACTGGAGATCCTTTCTTGGATGTCTGCCATTATGATGGTTACTGGACCCTGTTCAGGGAGGTCGCTGTGGTCTGCAGTCAGATCAACTAGCCACTGAGCACTGCCGTTATGGGTTGTGTCCTTCTACTATGCTCTTCATGTATTGCTCCGTCTTCAGCCTTGGTGGTGCTGTTCTCATATTGTTCCCCTGCCACTGAGTTGCCAGCTGTTCTATATAAGTCCTATATGAGTGTGTGTGTGTGTGTGTGTGTGTACTTTTGGGGGCTTTTTTAGCAGACGCGTGAAAACAAAAGTACAGAAACCATTTTACTGTGAATGAAAATGATAACAAGACTTTATTAAACAAAACATGAAGCCCCATCCCGTTAATATTGTTTTCTACTTGCCTTTAACTTTAATTCAAATCATTCTGGGTTTTTTAACAGCTCATGATATTTATATTTCAAATGAGTTGAAGGATATCAATATTGGACAGAAGCCCTGAATTCAAATCTTTTCTCTCTTTTTTATGTTGGGTGTTTTCCCCCTCTGTTTGTTCTCGACGCCAACTTACTGAACATCATCAAACTGAAGACTTCAAATCTGGTTTATTGCCATGATGTGTTATAAAGAGTTTCAATTCACAGTCTGAGATCTGCAACTTCCAGCTGTTGTTGTCGTCATAAGTCTGAGCTAGAAGTTTCACCTGCTGAGAGCTTCTTCCTCATTAACTTCCTGGTTTTGCTTGAGGCGGGCTGTTTAAAAATGAAAGACAATTCAAAGATTCACTGAGTTATACTGACACGACAAGTTTAAGAAACTTTAAACTGCTTTAAACTGTGACAGCGCAAATGATATTCTGACACAAACCATAAAAATTTGTTTTCATTATTTATATTTACAACACTTAAAGAAAATCCTGTTTTTCTGACAGACTTACGGGTTCTTTGCAATTCTGATAAAGCATAAATCCCCATGAGATCAGAGAGATACAGATGAATACAGCCCAGACGATTGCTAGCCGGCCTGAGAAAGAAATTCTAAGGTACAAAAACAGTAAAAACACAATTTAGTGTTAATGATATAAACGAGCACATTTTAAAGACAGGAAATGGAATTAACCATTAAATAACTAGTGTTACTGTGAGAGGTGAGCACCAGACTTTATTTACATGTTTCTGATGCACAGAGAATTTCATTTATCTCCACTTACAGTCTGGTGACCTCCAGGTTACATTGGGCCTTTTGCCCAATGTTAACCAGGAAAGACTCGAGCCCCCGAAACCCAGAACTGTATAAAACTGATATTTGACATTTTGAAGCAGAACCTCAGTATGTTTACCTGAAAGAGCTGCAGGTTTATGGGAGGATTTTACTTTGTTTTCCAGATTTTCAAAGTAGATCTAAGATGAAAACTGTTTGTATTGTTAGCCTGATGTTTCATTTCCTACCTACCATTACCTTTCATTAAGCCAACACTACACAGACTCAGTTTCACTTCTATAGAATGAGCCTAGTCTTGGATTCCTTTTAGTCTCGGACTAAAAGGAATGCAAGACTAGAAAACTGGATGGGAGTGTTTCTGTTCTATATATATTTTACCTGCTTCTTTGGTATCTTCACTCTGATCCGGCGTCTGAACATTTCCAGGTTGCTGAATTGTTTCTGTCTTCTCAGGCTTTGATTCTAAAATTAAACAAAACAAAACATAACATATGTTTTAATAATATTTTGTATTAACTTAAAAACGGATGTAATGTTATATCAGTGAATTAAGCTGCTCTTGGCTCTGTACATAGTTTTGTTTTACCACGTGGAAACTTACAAAACTGAAACATGAAAACATGAAGACACTAAAAAAAAAAAAAAGTGTTGTGATCAGAGGAACAGTTTGTAGCTCTTCAGTGTTGGTTTCATCACGTCCTGATGAAGCTGCTCAGTAACAGTGTCACTGAGGTTGGACACTGTGGATTTCTGTGGTCGACTCAGACTCAGAGGCCTCCTTCAGGGATGTTACCTGGACCAGCAGCTCCATGAAGAATTAGCCTCACGTGTGGTAATGCTGGGCTTACACTGTGCGATTTTGGCCCATTTTGAGCCGATTTTTGAGTCGTGCGACCGTCTTGGCGATCTGCCCGATTTTGGCCTTTATCGTGCGTCGTGCATCGTGTAGTATACGTGGGGTAACGAGACGCGATTAACACCTCACGACCAGCTCCCGATCATCAATCGCTTGGTCGTGAGGATTTCCAACCTGTTTGATATCCTCGCGACCATCGTGAGGGTGTCACTGCAGTTTGTCACACTGCGCACGCGCAAACACAAATGTCAGCGAAAAAGACGGAGCAGCACGGCAGTGCAGCGTGTGATCTGGACACAAGCGATTGTAGCTGCTAAGACTGGTGAACCTAAATCTTCACCACCACCACCAACCACCACCACGTCTGGTATACATACAAGCCAAAAGGGGAGTGGGTGGTCAGCGCTCAGGGCACAGAAACTTAGCTGGCTTCAAACACACCATTTATTTTCCATAAAAAAAAAAAAAAAAAAAAACACAGCCAGAGTCACAGAATACAAGATACAATTCCCCATATACAATAAAAATAGTGTTGCAATCCGCTACAAACCCTGCCGGCAGAAATAACTATACACTATTAAAACAAGGCTAAACATGTTTCCATATGCTAAAATTACCCTCCACAGTCCCTTAATCCCACAATCCAGCCACAAATGGGCGAATGGTCCTTATCTGAAAGAGACAGGAGAGGAACTTCTCTTCCGGGATGGGGAAACTTGCCAGCAACAGACCAGGAGGAGGCTCCTATCGCAGACCTGTCTCCTCCAGACAGTGCGTCGCCGCACAGTCCGCCCACTCCACACCTGAACACGGCCTCCCTCGTCTCACCGTCAGATGCAGGCAGAAGGGCATCCCTGCCCTGTTGTGCATTGCGGCCATTGCCACCCACTGTTGCCATTCCTGCCGTTAGGACTAGATCGCGGAACGACTCGCGGTGCCCCACAGTCAGGCAGTAGTTCGTTCCACACACGTGCGGGCTTGCACGCGTTCCTTTTTCTCCTGCTCACCTTCGTGCATCGCTTCTTTCTTCTTTTGTCTCTGCGCTCACCATCCCCTTTAACTGGTCAACCTGGCGGCTGATAGGCCACCTTGGGGAACGCCCCACCTCACAGGTGCCTACAATTGTCTGTTTAGTCCACAGTGGGTTAAAGGAACATGGTATAACATTAACACAAATATAAATATGAGGATAAAACCATGCAGTATAAATATCAATAAACAAACATGCAATATAAATATCCCAATAAAATCATGCAAATAAAATCAACACTATGTACCAATACACAGATTGATAAAACATAAAAACACAAATTTCCGCTGTGTGACACGATGGAGGTACAACTAGTAGAACTTTGGAAAGCTCATCCGAGCCTTTTCGATGTGGCATCACAAAATTATCACGACCACAACAACTGTGAAAATAGTTGGATTTACATTGCTGCTCAATCACAGCTGCCTGATCAATGTTTTTCATTAGCAATTTAGCAAAGTTGATGGTGGTGGTGTGTCTGTGTGAGTGAAAGACAGAGAGGGAGAGCGAGCGACAGAATTTCTGTTATAACCTTCATTTTGGACTTTATGGAGGCACAGTGTGAGCACTCAGGTCGCATCAGAGCATCGGGCCGTATAGTGTGAGACCCTGCATTGTGACCTACCAACTTCTGACCCCTGTGAGTCAATCGTGCAGTTTGAGCAGGAGCTGAATCGCGCGACTGAAAAATCGCACAGTGTCTGCCCAGCATAAGCCACAAAGACTCGTGTTAAAAAGTCCAACTTAAAGCAGAAATGATCATGTTTACAGTCTTCCACATCAACCAGTGTTGGTCTCCATGGATACTTTTACCATCATATCATCTCTAGGCTGTTACTGTACTCAGTAACAGCTGCTCTCTACCCAGTCTACAGGATATTTACACCTCAAGCTGCATTCGTAAAGGCACTAGCATCATAGCTGACCCGCGTCCCCCCTCCCACCAACTGTTTACTCCCCTTTCATCCAGAAGACGACTCTGCAGTATCAGGAGCCGGTTGTCGACATTGTGAATTAGCTTTTCCCCCCAAACAGTCCATCTCCTGAACACCATGCTGCCCTCCTCCACACTGGAGTCTCTTCTCTACACACTTCTTGGACTACACAACACGATACATAAAACTCTCCTCTCATATCCAATACTTGCACTATTCTGTATTGTACTGTTTGACTCTGTGTATTTAAGCTCATCCTGTTGTATTCATTCCTAGTTCCTCTTATTTCTGTATAGTCATATATTTAAATCTTTCATTTTATTTTTACAGTTTGCACCTTCGATGCAGGAGGACAATATTTTATCCCACTGTATACTTGAGTGTATATTGTTGGGTTGACAGTAAAACTCTGCTTAACTTGGTAGCAGAGCTTTCAGTTGCTCTGCTCCTCAGCTCTGGCATTATTTTCCTCCTGATATCAAGAATACTGACTCGCTTCCCTCGTTTGAGTCAGAACTTATAACCCATCTGTTTAAACTGGCTCACTCTTCTTAAACATTGACTCCGATATTTGTCTAATGCTGTTTTTAATCCTTGTTACTGTTTGTGCTTTTCTTTTCCTTTTTTGTTTTTGCCTCATTTCTCATCCTGATTGTAATTTGTAAAAATGTTTAACATATTTTCATTGGTGTGTTTTATGGTTTGTTTGTTTTTTTGAAAATCTAATTTCAGGCAAAAAGAATGAGATTTAAAAATAACCACAGGTTACTACATAGACCTACAATCCTAAAGGTGTCAGGGTCCTGGGTCTGTTACGCAGTGTTTTGTTTTTAATTCATATTCTTTGAGTTTTTCATGATTCAGATTCTGAGCTTAATCATTTGTATAAAGTGTGACTCTGCTAAACATCTGTATACTCACCTCTGCAGAGGACGAGTGTTAGAAGCAGCACAGCAGCAGAGAAGGCCGAGGGTCTGTGTGTAAAGATCACACTGATCTCCTGAAGAGCCATCACTCATTACTCTGAAAATCAACAAGCAAAACAAGCTTCCTGTTACTCTCTGCATCTCACAGGAAGCAGCCCAGCAGTCTAATATAACATCATGTGTTTTATTCTAAATGTCAATGTTTCTGATCCTTTAACAACATTAAAGAAATCTTACCTCAAAGAAATATTTCAGTGACCACTGGAAAAGAGTGCTGCTTCTTGAAAAACTTTCAAGTGCAAACAAAGATAAGAGAAAATCTCTTCAAGGATTTCACGTTCAGAGCTTCTTTGTGGTGCGTTTCTTCATGCGTTTCTTCGTCCCTCTGAGCAACATCTCCAGACTGCAAATCCTGTACTGTTGATCAGTGAGTTTCTCCACTCTGTAGCAATAACAGAAAAAATAGGTTCAGTCCCAATGGAGTTGTTTCAGTGTTGATCCCATTTATATTTAAGCCGTTTCCCAAAAATGAATTTTTTTCTTTCCTTTTTTTTGCTCTGACACAAAAAGACCCCACGCCCACAGATGCTGTGAAACAGTGTATGTTTGTTTACGGTGTTTCTCTGCACGTTTTGTTTTTACAGGCTTCCAGCTGCCTTTTCCTGCCCAGCACACCACACACAGCTCTTCTGTGGCACACATGCTCTGAATGTTTCAGTGCTGTTGTTCGAATTAATATTGATGGTGCAGCTGCTTAAGCGTCAGTTAACTTGAACATTTAATTGTATTTATTTATTTTTTTCAGCTCCATCCTGTTTTTGCTTTTGTGTGTCTATATATACCAACCAGTTCTTCCAACAAGGTGCACAAGAACATGGGGACAGCAGGGGAGTAATAAACATGAACCAGTGGGTTGATGGCAGTACTTGTAGGGCTGATTGTCACTCACCCTTTAAGCCAACTGTAGCCTGTATGATTATTTCAATTATGAAAAGATTATATTGACCCATCAGGTAAATGCCTGGTTTGCCAGATTAATAGTCCTGTCCTGAACATAAATGAAGGAGTGAGAGTCTGCTGGATGAACTTGATTCTTATCAGTGGAGGGATAAATACATTCCACTTAATGTACTTAATGATAGTGTACTAAACAGTTGTTGCTCTGTGGTTCGAGTGACTGACTAGAGTCAAATTCCTGAAATTGTACTGTCTGACTATCATATTTCCACAACTAATTAAAGCTGATACACCATGCTGTAAGGAATTCAACCAGTGCTTACCAGAGCTCATTAACTGGCAGAGCAGTCTCATACCAGAAAAACAGCTACAGTCACATTAAAAATGAACAACGTTACCGGAATAAGTGTTATAATACTGTAAGTCTGCACATTTATATTTGTGTGAACAGTGAGTCTTTGGGATAGTTCTCTCACCCCTTGAGCTGCTAAAACATTTTCCTTTGAAAGCAGAACAAGCTCTCTAGCTTTCATTAACAGTATAGAAATAAAACCTTACAGCTTAAAAGTCAACCGGGTCAAAAACCAGGATCTTTTCAAAGTCAGGGGAGGAAACTGACCCTGCCCCAAACAGCTGAAAAGCTCACTGATGATTGTCACAGTTCAACACAGGCACGTGACTACTCAGTTTAATCCTGGAATTATGTTTCATAATTTTAGCAAACGTGCTTCATCTTCAGCCATATCAGACAGCTGGGCTCCTGAGTTCGAAAGAAAAAACAAAGATGCTGCTGCAGTCAGCTCTGTGGTTGTCTCTATTTGCTAAATATATTAAAGAAAAGTGCAAAGACTCTGGCAAAGTTGGTGGTGATCCTTTAAATACTCACCAGGAACACTGTTCAGTTCATACACAACTAAACAATAGCATACAAAAGAATTGGTTTACACTTGTTTCTTTCTAAAGAAGCATCAAATACAATGTTCCATTATTAAATTGGTCCTGTATATTTGAGATTTTATTGGCTAATACCAAAACCTAACCAAGGAAGGAAAGAAATGGGCTGGTCTTGGGTAAAAGATCGAAACACCCTGTGAAGTCGTGGCACACAACGATGTGTCCCGCTGGTAAAGTTTCTGGGCTGCCTTTCCTTGTAACAGTCCTCCCTTAAGATTTTCTCCATTTAAAGCTATGCATTATCAGAGATTGTAACATCTAGTCCTATCACTGAATCAGAGTCACCAGGGTTGGAGTTAGATTATGATATTTATTATGAAGTTGACCTGCTTTTTGTTATAAGGTTCTTGTTTGTTCGTTCTCTGACTCAAAAACAAGACAAACAAAAATAAATAAAAAGACTTACCACAGATAAAGACCCCAGACGCCGACACAATTATCCAAACTGCCGCTGTCAAAGTGAAAGGAGTCGCTGGAGCCGAGCAGGAAACAGGATTAATGTGTCGCTGAAAAACCAGTCACTCCAGTCCAATCAGTTTCTAATATTCATTGCTGCGCATTCATTGGTTGCTTCATGAGATAAACACTGAGCACTACAGACACAGGGATGATTCAGCTTTATCACATATTGCATCAGATCAGTACAGATCATGTGTAAACCAAAAACAAACTCAACATGGTTTCAGCAGTTTCTTCTTACCTTCAACAAACAATACATCTAAAATGTATTAAGTATAAAGTAAGTAATGTGTCTAAAGATCAAATTTTTTTTCACTTGATATTCATGATGTAAACATTTATATGAATTTTACTTAAACCAAATGAATGTTGCACAAGTACTATATTATATTATATTGAATTCAAGATGGCAGCATGCTCTTTGTTTGTTACGTGTCCGTCTAATTAGTTGTTTTTAAAAGATTTTTTAATCTATCTCTTAACGTATTTCTTAACTAATTTTTTTAACGTATTTTTTAACCAGACAGTTAATATTGCATGGATTGTTTGGAAAAACGTGTGGTTGGTAGATGCTTTGGAAGTTGATGGATGCATCTTCCTGGAGCTAACAAGCCTAGCCTGGCCCTGTACCGTCCTCCTGGAGTTATTTGGCCTAGACCCGGCTCTATCCCATCTTCCAGGAGCTAACTGGCTAGGGTCTGGCCCTGCACCGTCCTCCAGGAGTCAATTGGCTTAGGCTTAGGCCTGGCCCTGTGCCATCCT